TGTGGGAACTGTTAATGTCAGAAAACATGAAGCGGAAAAACCTGTGGGACAAATATGTTCATCACCAAAAGTTAAAAAATAAAATAAACTGAGCACAACAAAGAATGAAGACCCAGGAGGGGAATAAAGCCCCAGGTTTAAATTTGTTTCCCCCATGGGTAGCACCACATAACAACAAAACATGAGCACAAGATAACTGACAACATGTAAAAGTAGATTATGTCATAGGCATGAAGTTTTATTGCAGAAGTTTAAATGAGCTGTTCCACTGTCCACCTTTTAGTGTCAGAGGTACAGACCCACAGAGCTCAGATAAAGAGGACCACTGTGACGCTCAGGTGTGCAGACAACTGCTAACTCAGAGCATGACAACAGAAAAAATAAATTAAATTTAGACCCAAGAAAAACCTGCAAGGGTTTAGTTGAAAATCGTTAATTTACTCGGGAAAAAATGTCAGAGACTTCATCTCAGTCGCATCTTTTCTTATTGGCCACATGTCACTGCGAGGAGGCTTGTTACTCTGTTTATGTGTGTGTGTGTGTGTGTGTGTGTGTGTGTGTGTGTGGTATTAGCTATTAAACATGTGGGTTGATCTTTAGTTATAACATTCTTGTGTACTACACTGAGAGGAATGCACTGAATAAGCAGCCTAACAACTTGAAAATAAACTGTACCTCTAATGAGCAACTCCACTTGTCTCTGAAAGGATACATTTACAATTAAACTGAGTGATTGCATTTTGTTTAAAGGAACATGAATTTTACAGGTTGGTGTCAATGCAAGAGCTTTAGGAGCATCCGTTGTAGTTATAAAAAGTATTTTGCCGCTTACGAATAAACCTGGTCAGCTTTTTTTTTTCAGATTCTGTGAGAAATCTACATCATAACTTACGACTCCCCCATACCGTCAGAGATGGAGGCTTTGGAACCAAGGACTGATAACAGGCAGGATAGTCCTTCTCCTCTTTAGAAACAAATTTTCCAAAAAGAATTTCATAGTTTGATTTGCCTGATCAAACAACAGTTTTCCTTTTTGCCTCAGTCCATTTTAAATTAGATTTGTCCCAAACAAAACAAGCATTTCCAGATCATGCTCATATATGGATTCTTCTTTGCATGATAGAACTTTAACCTGATTTGTGGATAACAAGGAATCTGAAAATTGTACATTTTCTCAGTTCAAACACATGATATATTGTTCTATCTTGAATAAAGTAGGGGCTTATAAGATTTTAAAATCCCTCTATCCTGTTTTTAGTTACATTTTAAACAGCGTCCCAACCTTTTTGGAGTTGTAATATTACTTGAGTTGAGTTGAGGTGAGCATCAAAACAATAGTGGGTACAGTGAGGGGTTATGTAAAGATCCAGTGATGCAGAAAGTAATTGCAAATGACTGACAGCGAATTACCCTCCCCCTCCCCTCTCTCTCAATTACCTGCTTCTTAAGTAATACCTATGTGAGTTTCCATTCAGCGGCTCGTTAAACAATAGCATACAGTGTGCAGTGCTTCTGCACTTAGCATGCTACATTAATCCAGCAGCTGCAAGGTCAGGGCTTTTTAAGCGTCAACAGAGTGTGTGGATAGGGGAACACTGCTGTTACAGGTATGAACACGCTCATGTACTTGGTGGTGTTTTGATCTCAGGTGATGCTAATTTTGTGGCTTTTGTTAAAAATAAATAAATAAATAAACTCTTGTAAATCCAAAATCTGTAAAAACAAACAAAAAAAACCCAAAAAAACCAAAACAAAGAAAAACAAAAACAAAATAATCTTATTAAAGAAGATTATCTAACATCTCAATTTACTGCACTGATGCTGAAGTCCATTCAGTCAGTCACTAATAGATGTGCAACACGCTTTTAATAAGAGAGAACTTAAAGAGTGCCTTTCAGGCTGAAGTTTTAATGGTAAAGAATAATCTCCACTGGCTCAGTCTCTTCCCTGATGTCAACCAAATGGAGCTGAACATCACTAAAAGCAGAAAGACCCACAAACAACCACTAAAAGCAGCCACAGTGAAGGTTAGCAAAACACCACTAAGGAAGAAAGCCAGTCTTTGGTGACGTCCATGAAAAATAAGCACTTCTGTTATTGTTGTGCGAGTTTATCCTATTAAAATTAAAACCCAGAAAATAAGGAACTGTGCATAAAATAGCTGCATTTTGACATATTATTATTATTATTGCATATAAATATTATTGTTCAACTGCTTAAATTAAAACCTTAGAGTTTCCAGGTGAGCCTGTCTTACTTGTGTAACTGCAACGTGTATATGGTCAGCATAAATTACAAATCCCACAACACATAATCTTGTGCATACTTTCCAGTTTAAAGTAATATATAAATGTTACGAGCTCTTACATTGACCAGCGACATATTCAAACAACATTAGTGGAAATTAGTGCACATCAGAAGGGGACTTGAATAAATTCATGGTAAAAATGATGGCTGTGAACATTTACGTGACCCCATGTTTTCCATGTGTTTGTGTTGGTGTATGGAGGTGGCAGCACTGCTGTACCTCAGCGGGGAACAACTTCTTGTCCACGGTGTGCTCTGAGCCCCAGGCGTTGGTCTCACCCCAGTGGAAGTGGAACTGGCAAAGCCTAAATTTGTCTTCCATGGGGCCCCCTTGTAGCGCTGCAACCATAAAGTTCAAGGACATGAAAAATCAGTGCATCAAACACGGATTCGTCCAGAGGAAATAGCTTATGTTTCAAGGAATTTTTAATTACTTGTTTCCTCCTTCAAAGGGTGGACATCATCAGACAAAGACTGACTGTTCAGAAACAGGTTGTTCAGGGAGTAATACTGACATCAAACATCCAGGAAACATTAAAGTGAGAACGAGGCTATGAAAGAATAACTTTTTATTGTCCTCACAGTATCTGATCAGGCCTCTCTTTCTCAATATACAGTAGCATAAAGGTTTCTGTTGTCAAAAAAATAAAGGCTAAAGTTCTTCACAAAGTGAAGTTTATAAACCTGTCATTGTTCTCGCAGACTAAGCTTTAAAGCTTTTAATACAAAGACTGGCAGCATGTGACACCCTATAAAGTGTATTGTTGTAATTTCACCAAAACATGATTTATATTTAGAATCTTAATGGGTAGTAAAGTTAGTGTTTTGGCGCACCCCAGTAATTATACCAAAATGACACTTTAAGGACAGGGTACGTTGCACTTTTAAGGGTCAGCACAAACATACAAGTCACATGACAGCCCACATGACACCTTTAAGAGCAGTATTGCTTACTGGATTTTCCTACATACAGAGTGCTCTTTAAGGGGGAGTGCAGGAGAAGATAATCCCCTTGTGTAGACCAAAACATACATTCCTACAGCTGAGATTTCCCTTAAATTCTTCCCGATTTAAATGGAAGCTACAGACCTGCTGCCATCTGAGCAGGCAACAAAGAGGAACTTACATGGTACAAACTGTAATCTTAAGTAGTTACCTGAAGAACTTAATGTGTACTTAATGAGTATTTTAACTAAATATATACATGCAGATTACAAAAGAGTACTTACTGGACTTGTCTGTAGTGTCATCGTACTCGACCAGAAAGGAGTAACCGTTGTTCCAGATTTGTTGGCAAGTATGCGGGTCGTATTTGGTAACCAGAGGCTTCAGCTTTGAATCAAAGATGCTCTTGCGTACGACAATATCAATTGGAGACTGACGATCCCCTCCCGGTACCACGAGGGGTCCCTGCCACATGGGATGCACTGAAGGAGGAAGAGGAAAATGTAAAAAAACAAAACACAAGTTAGTGATATTAAAGATTATCGTTTTCCAGTCAGAGTTAAAAACTCTTGACAAAGGGAACAGCAGAAAAAATTACCCAAAAAAACCCTTAAACCTACTTTTCATGTTACACGCCGCTGCTTCCTGCATTTTTGTAAAATCCATTATTTAAAAATAAATATTAAAAAAGCTTCATAAAAAGAAGATTCAAATGGTGACAGTACTAGAAAGACAGGTACAATCCTTCTTCCCCGAGCTCTTAAAAGGAACTGACTGAAAAGTCAGCAAGTAAGCAATCTCACTTCCTTTTAGTCCGCTTACTTTTTTTTCCCAAAAGGAAATTACTAAATAAGAGAGAAGTGGGCCGGCTGTACAGAAAGTGACACGCGGAATGTCTTGGCACGCCCTCAGCTCGCCTCCACAGCAGGAGAACCTGACCAGGACCTCTGGCCAGTCAAACTGCACGCTCAGTCCAACATCTGTCAACAGACCTGACTTCTAATTACTCAAAGCTCTGCTTATTTTCTCTGCCTCCCTATTTAGGTGTTGTGCCTCTGCTATTGAAATACATCCAAAACTATTTTAAAAAATCTTTTCCTTAGAAAAACAAAAGCACACACACAGTTTAAAAGACTATTTCACTCATTTATCTGAACCCAGATCAACAAGAAAAAGAACATGCGCAGTTCATAGGGCACAAAGGCAGTTCAGTCTTTTATTTTCCTTATCATTCATTCTCTCCGGAGCCTAAGGTTTCCACTGAGAGCCAAGCTCAACAGGTCCGACTGGGACATGACCTTCATCTTCATCGGATTTCAGCGGCTCCTCCTAGGAGAGTTGGCTGCCTGTCTCAGTTATTGCATGAACAATAACTGCTTCCAAAGCCATGCATGCTCTTGCACTGCAATTATCAACTGTGGAGTTTATATGGCCTTGAATCCATAAAAGGGACTCACTTCAGGAACATATCACAAATCATTTATCCTAATTTAAATCGGGGTGGAGGTACCGAGCAATTGCTCGAGTTTCCCTGGCACAGGACAAGATGTTTATATCTTGCCTTGCAGACATCAGCGAATCTACCAAGCTCGCATTTCATTTCCCGTAGACGCATCACAATAAAAGCTTCACAAATGCAGAAAAAAAAAGTCATACCATCCAATGTGCAAGACTGGTAACTGTGATATGATAGTGTCGCTCCACATCCTGAACACAGGGACCTGAACCTTTTCAAAGACTTTCACAACAGTCTTGAGTAACCAGCCTAATAACATGTTCTGAGCCAATTAGTGTATTGCACCTCACTGGGGGACCATCACAGCTGAGCTCCAGTCACTCCTGCTACCAAACAGAAGAGTGCGCTTGGAGGCATTCTTCTTAATTAGCAAACAATCTCTGATATAAGCGAGCTCGTGAAAATAATAGAGAATAATAATCTGAATGTTTTTAACAGGTTCTGGCAAATTAAACTTACAAATAAGGAATTAGAAAAGAATTAGAAACGAATGATCTGAGTAATATATTACATAAATGTTAAATAAAATGGACTCCTCGCCGACTAAATGATTACTATGTATAATGGTTCTGAAAGAGGGAATGGTTTCAGCAAAAACAGTAAGAAAATACTGTTTTCTCTGTATACTCCAAAGACCTCAGTAACTCCAAACCTCTGCAAGGAAAACTTTGTGCCCTGAGCTGAGGCTTGCAGGTAAAATCTCTTTATGTTCAGGCTTGAGGTCTGGACTGAGTAAACCATCTGAACCCACTGAGGTGAAAATTTTACCCGACAGGCACTACTGAGGGAACAGAGTGCACCATTGTTCTGAAGCTGGCAAGATATCAATATGCCTCCCTGCTACTTTTGTTAAGAGTGTACGAAGAGCGAATGTGTCTTTACACAGATATCAAACTGAAGACCAAGCAACTAGCAAAAAAGAAGAAAAAGAAATCCCACTGACCAGTTCAAACAAACCCAAAGTCTTTTGGTAATGCTTTGTACAGACACAGACGGACACAACAAGCTGTTTAAAGTTAAATATAAACTCTAGTTTATTACAATGGTTGAACATAAAAGCTTTGCTGGAATGGACAGTTTTTCTACTCCCAAACAGCCAACTGCTCATTTAAGTCTGACCAACAACATTATTTTTCTTCCAGTAAGGAAGTTGAGAGGAGCTGAGACTGATTTATTTTTATTTTAGGAACAAAAGACTCCACTTCAAGAGATTCGGCAAATAACCACAGCTTTCCACAAAAAAAAAACCCACACAAAAAATTGTGTAAAACAAACAATAAGTAAGAGTGTAGCACACCTGGCACATTTTTTAATATACATCCTTGAGCTTCAGCTGGACGTCAGTCAAAATTATAGTAAAAACTTTACCTTTTACTAGGTTTTTCCCTTTGACTATTTTTAAAGCTACTAGTAGAACTTGTTATCACTTTTTATTACTTCACCAGCTTTTTTTTTTATTTTGCCTTTTTACCAAGTGGAACATCATGGCCTTGCCATATTGGTCCATTTGATTGACCTTTATCATTATCATTATCATTATCATTATCATCATTATTATTATCATTATGTATTTATTTTATTTTCAGTTGTTACAGATGGGACAGACATGACTGGGAGAATGAAGGAAGAAAGGAAGGAAGGAAGGAAGGAAGGAAAGAAAGAAAAAAGACAGGGGAAGAGGGACAGTGAGAAGGGGCACTTAAAAAACCTGTTGAGAGAAGAAAAAACAGAAGAGAAAACAAGCAAAAAGGAGAGCAACATAATAAACACAACACCATCACAATAATCTAGCTAACAGTAAATAACAGCAGCCAACTGCGCCAGAGTGGACAGAAACCCAGGTCCAGGGGCCAGAGGCCTGAGGGCCCCCCACCCCCCTGAACTGGCCCAACCAAGCCACGGGCACCAACTTCTGTCATCTATCTTAATTGCCCCTTGGGGATAAATAAAGTTTTTTTGACTTGACTTGACAAGCAGCCACTGGGAGTGAGCCGGTACAGGGTAACCTGAGCGCCCAGCCCTGGATACCAAGAACCACCAATGCACCGACATCTGAGGGCATCAGCCACTGGCAGGGAGTGTGGTGAGATAGGCCTCCATACCTTGGAAAGCCTCAGAATGGCCCAGCTTTAAAGTAGGTATGTCTATTAATCCGAAATTATTCATATTCCTCTCAGATTTTGATAGATGTTTTTAAAGAAATTTTTGAGATGTCAAATTTAATTTTGCACAGTCAAATAAGAAAAGGTGGCATACAGCTATGAGAAGTACAGTCACGTGAATTTGATAGATTTAATACTAGGGATGCCATGATGGCACCGGTTCTGTCATAAACGGTAGTATTTTCGGTGCTTTATTTCGGTGCTTTTTTTTCCCCTGAGCTGTGATACACTTTAGATTCTAGCCAATTGTTTTACGTTTCCGAGGATAGTAGGCGGGTCCAGGTACGTACGTACTTTTAGAGCAGAGCTACAGATTAAAAATGCCCAAGGTGAAGCGGTCAAAGTCTGGCTGTACTTCACAGCAAAAGATGCAAACTCAGCAGCCTGCAACAAGTGCTTTAAGCTGATACTGTGATACT